ACAATGAAATTATGATTTCTATCCTGTGTTTCTCAGTTCTAGATATTCAACTTTATTTTCAATAATCTCTTTCTCTCATTATTATCTTCATGTTTTCCTTTAAATTTTTGTAGACTTTTATAATGCCTGTTTTATAATACTTCCCTGCTAATTCAATTATTTGTAATTATGGTGGTATTAACTGAATTTTCACCTAATTATGGGTTACATTGTCCCACTTCTTCACATGTTAAGTAATTTTTGTTTGGATGCTGGAAATTTTGATGTTATTTTATTGAATGCTGAGTTTTGTTTTGACAGGTGGCCAAGCTACTTATGGATACATTTAATTCTTTTGTAGCTTGGCTTTAAACTTGATTAGGATTGGCGTATCCGACTAAGTACTTAAAGAAAGAATCAAAGGAACTTATGTAAATTTCTCATACTTTTTCTTTGCATAGCTCTTCCTCCCTCCTGTAATTTCCATCATCTCAGTTGGACCTAGCACTGACTCTGCCTCCTCTAATCAGTGAAAACCCTGTGCTCTGCATGTGTCCCCATTTTTGGCACCACCATCCAGAAAGTTTCTTCAGGAACAAATCGTACATTATCATAGGGTGTAGCTTATTTGTTTCTTTTCTCTTGGAAAACATAGTCCCTTGATAGCTGTTGTCCAATGACATGAAATACTTGTTTTGTTTTATTTTGTTTTGCTTTATTATGTTCATGGTAAGAGAGTAAGTCCAGTACAGCAACTTGAGCATCCACAAATTTTGGTATCTGAGAAGGTTCTTGGAGCCAATGCCCCGCAGACACCAGCGAATGACTGTGTTATTTACTTCATAATTATCATGCATGCTAAATTTTAGTATAGTTGTCATATCAATTATTTAGAAGGAGGTATTATAGTCTCAAAGATTGTATATTTATCTATTCTTCCCTTCAGTTTTGTCAGTTTTGCTTTATGCTTTTATTAAGTACATCTACCTAGAATTGTTATAACTTCCTTATATATCAAACATTTTATAATTATGAAATAGCTCTCATTATCTTTAGTAATATGCCTTGGCATGAATTTTACATTATTAATATAGCCACATTGCTTTCATATGTGTACTGTTTACATGTATTATCTTTTTCCATCTTTTTATTTTTAATTATCTGTCTCTTTATATTAAATTCAT